ACACACACACACACATATATCAAAAAAGTGTTTTATAGGGTGGATTGTATATTAAAAGTGCAATATGCCTATAAATTTACTAAAATGCCCTTAATGAAACTATTTTTCATATTATTTTATTAAGGATATTTTAGTAAATTCATAGGATAGACTGCACTTTTAACGTGCAGTCCAAATTGTATTACATGAATCCCTATTTGTTTTATATATATAAGTAAAGATCTATTTACACACAAGTTTTTCACATCACATTTATACAAAATCTTAACCATTCATCTCTACACTTTCAATGGTTGAGATTTATTCATACTTATTAAAAATAATTGTCTTTTTCACTTAAAAAGTCATGATAAACCTTAACCATTGAAGTGGAAAAAATAAATGGTTGAGATTTTTTGTAAGTATGGTGTGTAAGACTTGTTCATAACTGGATATATAGAATGAGAGATCCACTTACATATAAGTTTTATACACTACACTTAGACAAAATCTCAACCATTCATCTCTCCAAATTTAATGGTTAAGATTTATTATGACTTTTTAAGTGAAAAAAATAATTATTTTTAATAAACATAAATAAATTTCAACAATTGAAAGTGGAAAAATGAACGGTTAAAATTTTGTAGAAGTGTAGTGTGTAAAATTTGTGCGTAAATAGATCCTTACTACACACGAGAGAAAGAAGGGAATTAATGAATGGTTTTACATATTATCTATACGTGCTCGGGTCAAGTGTGAGAATGAATTCGAATTTACTAATTGCTCATAAACACATTCTACATATTAATTTATCCAATTTTAAGCAGATCAAATTAACTTAGGCATAATTAGCCTAGATAATTGAAACGGTTTAATTGATCGGGAAAAACGGTAAGATAGAGACTTAAAAATCTTCACTTAAATTAAACTCTCATTCCATGTGCAATGCTAATTGCTTTTTGTACCAGATGGTTGGATGATTGGCATTGGGGAGTCAGTTCAACATTGGCAAAAGACCCAACAAAGGCCCGAAGAGGAAGTGAGTAATGATAATCCACCCATCAGACCAGCAACACGTGGACCAATCAAATAAGGATGTGTGACATGGGTGTCATAAATGAGGGATATAAATACCTCAATTTATCTCTATATAATGTAATAGCTTCACTTGCTTCTCTCTCTACAATATTTAGTTTTGAGAGCTTCTCTGTCTAAAGTAACTTAATATAACTAACTTAAGCGTCGAAGTGTCATTCTCGAAGATACTTTCTTGAGAATTTCAAGTATCGAAGCAGTTCAAAATATCAATAGTACGTGAGTTCATGAAACTACCCAAACAATTAGATTCCTTTTGCCTCCCATAAGAAACAGAGAGAATAAAGATGAGTACAGGAGAATTATGAATTCATTATCAAGCCCAGAATGTGCATTCACTGCATCCGGCGAATACAATCTTTTGAAGATCCATACAGCAAAGCAGAACCACTAGACTATCACCCTTGGGATCTTCTCCCAGCACGGAGCTTGAATTTAGGGCCACACATTTCAATGCAATATTACGCACCAGCCATTGGATTATGCTACTTCCAATTGAAGAAGACAATATTGCTGGTGATAAACGTTTCCATTTAATTGTCCTCTTGTCTTATTGCCAAGCAGAACTATCTATTTAGTGCAGAAGAAAGTTGGACAGGCAATTTTTGAATTTAGAATCAAAAGAAACCAACTTAATGGAGTCAATGCTAGGAGCAATTCTTTGGGGGAGGGGCACAAACAATTAATAGATTGGCAAAATAGGTAAAATTAGCAAAACTCTTAGCTTGACATAAAAAGTGAAAATTTGCACTACTAGAAAAATATGCATAGTACATATATATATATATGAAAAAATATTTTGCAAGGTGTCCCCTCAATTTTTTTTTAATAACTTGTCCAGCATCTAAATATAAAAATTTTGAGTAATCTATTCTTCCTATCTCTTTCATCACTCAATTTTGTTCTTCCTCTCACTTCATTCTTCACATTGTATTTACCATGTTGACCTCATGGAAGAGCTCTAATTGTGTGTTAGCTATTTTAGGGGCATTGTAGTCTCTTACCTTAAACCCAAGTTCCTAAATCCTAACATCCCTCTTCCCATCTAAAATTTTCATTTTACCCTTTAACTTCCCTTCTGCATTTTGAATTAGTGAGATGCAAAATGGTTATTTACTTATTAAACCTTTCTTCACAAGAGGTATTATTGGCAATTTGACTTTTTACGTCTTTGGTGTTTTTCTGGTTCAACTTTCCTTATTTATATTTCAGAGAACATGGTTGGGACAGCTGGGAGGTTTAAGCTGTAGCTTATATTCAAAAGGAAATTATAGGATGTAGTTCAAAAATATGGTTTTTAAACAACAACTCAATGTCAGTATTCTCAACTTCTTATATCTGCCTACATTTCCTTTGTATCTTAAGCCGTTTTTATTGTTGGATTTGTCTAAACAATATCTTAAAGGCACAAATTAATGGTGTATTAAATACATTTTTTTATTATAAATTTGTATTAAAAACTAAAAGTCAACATTTAATTTATCAACTATTCAATTAAATCCACTCACTTGGCATCAATACTATAATTAATGTTAGTTTTTATATTTTTTATGTGTATTTATAATAAAAATACTCTTAACATGTGCTTTTAAAAAAACCATTTATTTTTTTTGACGACAGAGGTTAATAGAAGCGATTGCTTTAAATGATTTGGTTTTGATAATTTTAGAATATTACTATTAGACTACATGGTGTAATGAATGAATTTTATATGAGATAAGAGATTTAATTTATGTTTGATATGAATTATGAGAATATAGAAATCCATTACCTCTCTTATAAAATATTGCATAACTTGTAATATGCAAATTGCAAGTAGAAAGTAAAGATTTCAACCCCTTTAACTTACCTTTGTATACTCCAACAACATCAACAACCTAAATCAACGATAAATGAAAAAAAAAAACAAAAAAAGTAAGGTTTATTTTTTCAATTAAACTATTATTTTTTAGACATTTAGAATTGAGTTGAAGAAAACAACTTGATCTGTAAATTTAGGAGTTTAAGCCAAATTTGGATTAAAAGACCCAATTCGAAAATGGAAAGACATTTTCTTAACTTCAGGCAATTATGGATTATGGAGATTTCATATATATTTTATTTTTTCTAATAAAAAATATCATTTTTTTAATTAATCAAAATTATCACATTTAAAAAATTTATAATAAAAAATACTACATTTTGAATTTTATTATTTAAGAATTAATTAAATATCAGTGCTTAGTTAGCAAACAAATTCTATATGTGAGACCCATTTAAATTGTTAAATTGCTAATGTGTCTAAAAAATAAGAATGGCTACTGAATTGCAGCTAATTCGCAGCTAATTTGGACAATGTTGCAAGAGTATAGACATCGCAATACAGGCGTCCACACTCATGCGTCAAAATATTCAAATTCTTAACATATGGTGTCGTCACCAACAAAGGTGATGTCAGCACCCAGTCCGTGTCCTGGTTCTGGGATCTTTTTCAATTTTTTACTTCATTAAAAGTTAAGAACTTGAAATTCAAATTCATTCTTTATGAACAAATTAGATCCTTGATTGCAATGTTTCTTTTTGCAATTTAATCCCTTAATTTTTAAAAATTTTCACTTAAGTCCAAAACTTTTTTTACATTCAAATTCTTTTTAATAAATAATAAAAATTATATAAAATCAATGAAAAATCATAAAGTACGGTGTAGAATTTATAGATTAACTAAACTCAATAAGATATATTATATAAATTTACTAGAACTAATTTATTGTTTAAATATATCATATAAATTATTTTAAATAAAAATATGTGACTTAAAAATAAAAATTTCATAACTTAAATTAAGTAACCTAAAATCACATAAATTAACTTTTTTCTAATATTATATGTACTCACACACCGCGTAATGTAGGGTGGGTCAATCTAGTTACATATAAAAGACTCAAGAAAAACTGATTCTGTGTTGTGCTCTTGGAGAGGTGCATCCCCAACCTCTGTCTTTCTAAAATTGACACCATCTCTTACACTACTAGAAAAATGATGTATACGGACCGAATATTGTCGGTCCGAAAAAATAAATATTCAAACCAATATCGGTCTAAATATACTCAGGGGGAGAAAATATACTTAATGAATATATTCGAACCGGTATCGGTCCCTATATTTATGGCAGGATCCACAATGTAGGCACGCCAATAATATTCGGACCGTTTTCGGTCCGAATAGTATTTATGAAAAAAATAAATATTAAATACCAAAAAATATGAATAAAATAATATTTAAATAAATATATACGGACCGGCTTCGGTCTGTATATATCCATTAGAGAATACGAAATTTCATTATTATATTCGAACCGGTTTCGGTCCGTATATTTATTATTTTTCGTGAAAAATAAAGATTAAATGACAAAAATTAGGAATGAATTATTATTTTTAATGAAAATATACGGACCGGGATCGGTCTGTATAAGGGAATCTCTGAATTGATTGGACGCTGGGTCCCACTGACATTTTTTTCGGACCAGGATCGGTCTGGATAATGCTGTACACAGCCTTCTTCCCTTCGTTTCGCCCGTCCCCC